TTTTTATCGAGAATAATCGAAAAATTGATTTTGTTTTTTCAGCCTCATTTGAACACTTTTAGGCCTGGAGACTTCATATTTACTGTGTATATACATATGAATGTCAGATTGGAAGGATTAGGGTATCTGCTAGTCGAGCAGTCTCGACTAGAGCCTTTTTACTTGTTTCATTTCGTGAACGAGTATAAAGACTTAAATAAAACAAGTAAGACGTTGCAGTCGGGTGCTACCGACTGCGGAATACTCATTCACACCCCATCAGCAATTTACTACCAAGTTTTGCTCTAATACCGTATAAAGTTCGCTTTTTCTTGATTCGCCACGCCCCTACTGGTCAGCTCATGAAACAAGCTAGCCGTAAGCTAGCTGCAAAATTTGGATACTTACACTCAAAAAATGAAAAAATTACAGGGTATTTTTTGATATACTACGTCCCTAAAGAGGCGTAACAATATTATTTAGGGAATCGATAGAACTAACTATCAAAATTTGAAGCTTCTAGCTCATAAGCTGTAGGCGATATAAACTTTTGCGGTTTCACACGCCCATCATAGCTCGATGGACTTGGGAGGTCAACTTGTGTATATATGTATATCAAATTTTCCCTAGCATCAATAATGCCTAAAATATAGCAGAGATTGAAAAATCACTATATCTTCAGGTCCGATTATTCACGCCCTTAGTAAGCGTAGATATGTATATCCACCCATTTTTTGAGAATCGAAACATTAGCTCACGTGCAAAATTTCAGCATTCTAGATTTACAACTTTGGGAGATACAGTTTTATCCGATTTGCCACGCCCCCAATGGGCGGAGGTATAGCTGTCATAGCGGGTGATCTTGGGTGGTCGACGCGGATCTACATACCAAATTTCAGCTTTTTAGCTTTTCAACATAACATGATTTCTGGCATATCGGAAAATGCATTTTCCTATTTGCCACGCCCCTAATGCGCGGATCCGGAAAATTTTAACACTATAAATTTCAAGTCTCTAGCTTCACCGAAGTAGACTGCGTTCATACCGACAGACTGCAAGACGGACATTGCACAAAACCAATATACTCATTTCACTTTCGTGAATGAGTATAATGAATAGACGAAAAATTATCTGGGGTTAAGCGCTCTGCCTTTACACGATACATACATTGTGTATGTATTTATGTATGCATATACATTCATTTACATATATGCATACATACCCACCAGATAGCTTCCGGTTCGTTGCCAGGTACTCTAGAATATTACCTTAAATTGAAGGCATTGACCACCTGCATACAATCATACATACACATATTGATGAAATAGACATGTATTTATATGAATGTTTTTTTTTTTTTTTAAATGCATGTGCGTACATATAAACAATATATGTACATACATGTATAATATACATATGTATGTATGTTTGGACACGGTATGTGATTAGCTCTTATCGGAGCTTAAAAAGCACAAGCGCGCCGCACAACTAGCGAATCCAAGGCGCATGAGTAATATGCCGAACCCAGCGGCGGCGTCGGACTGCGCAGCATCACTGCCTGGCGTTAGCGCTGGCGTTGACAGCGACCGCTGTAAGTTAACAACCCAAATACAAAACAGTGGCCCCTACGACCATTTTGTTGCTGGCTGACTGGCTCGCTGGCATTTCTTGTGCTCCTTATCGCGACGACAACAGTGGCGCCGCCGACTCGACGGCACGACTACACGCTTAGCCGAACACACACACATCCACAAAACAGAAACAACGGACACGTACGTATGTATATGCATGCATGTACATACGTACAAATGCTCATATGCATACATACACACACGCAAATGTATTGAATTTACTTGCTCGCTTGCGTGCCAGCCAGAGGCAAAAGCAAAACCAAAGGCAGGGTAACAACGCGACGAGACGAGACGAGACTCAATGAGGCACAGGCGCCACAGTGGGCGCCACTGACGTAAACGTAATAAAAGAAATAATAGTAACGATGTCGGCGGCGGCGTCGTCGCAATGGCGCCACCAATATAAACTTATATCAGACAGACACGAAACAACGACAGCGCCAGAAACGCCAACAACACAGCAACGATACTATAGACCGACGCGTCGGTCGGTCGGTTGGTCGCTCGTTCGGTCGTTTTGTCAGCCGGTTTGACAAGTTGGAAGAATCAAAAATCTGAGGTGAATTCGAACGAGCGAGAGCACAGAGCAAGTGCACAAGAGAGCATTGGTTCGTTGTGTGCCTGTGTGCGTGTACACGTATGTATATGTATAAGTATATTATATATATGTACGCGTGTATGCATGTATGGGTGTGTGTGTACATACATAGGTGGCAAAAAAATATCATACATACATATGTAAGTATTTCCGAATTCTTTCGAAAATTCAACAAGTACATATAAAAGTATAGTATTGGAAATAGTAGTATGCGCAATGTGGAGCAGCGGAGGAGCACGGATGTCCGGGAATCTTGTTAAAAACAGAGGGCAAATGCCTTTTTAAATATGTGTGTACATATGTACGTATATATTTTTTATTATTTATACGTACGGATGTATGAATGGCCGCATTAGTTCGTGGAAAATCGCTGGGACATAACAATGCCCATCTGTGAAATATATATAGCGCATATACCTGCTGATGGCGCTATCATCAATGCTGATGGATGCCATTCGAGTCAGCAAAATGTTGTTTATTAGTAAATAGTAATGGCGCCGGCAAAATGCTACAGTGCATCGAAGCAGAATTGGTATAATCAAGCGAAATTACAAGACAGAGTTACAATAAACGAGTAACAATTTTTAGCTTTAAAATTATATATATATATATATATATAT